TATGGAAAGTATGCGCTCTTCCCCCTGTGCTGACACTTTCCTTACTAGGCCCTCTGTGCAGAAGAAAGTGGTCGAACCAGAGTCCAGTAGAGCGTAGGTCCGAACACATCTATCTCCATCTGCTGCCTGAACATGCACTGGACTTATGGGAAGTACACATCGCATACCGGCCCCTATGGCGATTCCATAACTTGCTTCTGACCCAGTTAATATGGAGCCATTCTGTTCTGTGGTTTCACTCTGATTAGTGGTGGTATCATACTTCAAGGGCTCTCCATGCTGGGAGAAGTCCTTGTCTGTAACAGTAGCGCTGACCATGTTGGGTTGCAACTCTGAGGGCCGTCTCAGCTGGTAGACACCCTTCTCTAAATCTGTAGCCATGCTGGGCTCCGTCGTCAAGGCCCCTCTTCGTTGAGAGACATCTTTATCTGCAGCAGCAGTCATGCTCTCTCCACGCTGGGAGAAGTCCTTGTCTGTAGTGCTGACCCTGTTAGGTTGCACCTGTGAGGGCTGTCTCAGCTGGTAGACAGCCTTCTCTAAATCTATAGCCACGCTAGGCTCCGTCGTCAAGGCCCCTCTTTGTTGGGATACATCTTCATTTCCAGCAGCAGTCATGCTCTCTCCATGCTGGGAGAAAACCTCTTCCTCAGCTTTTGCCATGCTGAGTCTTGTCTGTAGCTCAAGCTTACTCCTTCTCTGCTTCAGCTTAAACTCCTCCAGTTCAAGAGCTTGTTGTTGATGGAGAGCTGCTGCCTGGGCTGCCAAGGCCGCTCTCTTCACCATTGCTTTGACTCTAGCTCTGGAGGTACTGCTTGTGCTGCTCTTGCCAGTCTGGCTTGCTGAATCCCCGGGTTTGACGGACTCTTGATGGGACATATCGCTCATGTTGACTTAAAGCACTGTTGTTGAACTTAATGTAGCGTATAACCAACCAATCGGACTGACTGCACTTCAATAAATAGCGACAATTTCAAGCATGATGCGATACCGTTCACAAAAGGCGGTTCAACCTGAAATTTAATCAGAATTAAACAATCATACATAATATGTCAATTTTAAACTGTTTACAAACAATCTTGCATCAAATTAGTTGTATGATTAATGCATGTTTACTGAAATTACATATTATACTGTTCCAAAATGAAATATCAATGCCCTAAAGATTATGTTCCATTTCCTTAGCATCATAATAAATGAATAATACATTTATGATACCCTAATATGGCTGCTTGAGTTTCCTTAGTTCACTGTTGTATTTGTGTGCATGATAAAACAATAACCCTTTTGGCTCTACACATATTACCCTAAATTCCTCTTTATATACATGTCTACAGTTACCAGAATTTATCTTCATTCTGTCACTTTATACAACTGCCTCTTATATATAAATGATATTAAAATAACACAACCCGGTCTGTACAACAGACTATCCCCATAGCGCTCACACATGCACCGTATTATGTAACTGCACGTGTAATGCATCATAAAAGTTACTGTGCGTACGAATCACTTTCATAACAAATTTTATACATCAATTATCTGAAAACTATGAACTGTATAAAACCAACACCCAACTCAAACTGACGGCTAGTTATCAATTATCAACATCATATGTTCAAATTATACTCACAACATTGGGCTTGTCTGGAAATACTAAATATTGATCGCAATCAGAAGGATGACTTTTCCCAAAATTGAGAATCATTTGCAGCTAAATTGTTACGCCCCCACTCGGCAGACCAAAAATTCAACCAAAAAAATATCGCTTCTGACGTCATACTCCGATCGTCAACTGAAACAAAAAATGTCCTCACAAAACAGAGATTAGTATCTTACACCTTACAATTGGAAGGTGATGGATAGATACAGTGTCATAATGTAGAAGGTGATGGTTGCAACTTAAAATATTATGTTGTCTCTCTCAATACATAGCACAAAACAATGACAAAACAATTACAGTAAGATCACATTCCGATATGTTTTACGATGAATTGATTGTATAATCATTAAAAGGGAAGGCTATCCTGATATAAAGTTGGTTTTAATAGAGTTAGAGAATGAGAGAAACAGGTCAGCCTGTGTAAGTTTGAAGAAGAAAACGATTACAAATATTTAAGAAAGTTATGAGTTTTTGAAAGTGCGATAAATCAAACACAAATTGGCAACTCTGTGTCGTGTCTTGCCCTGTACTAACACAAACTTTATTTGAGTTCTGAGGAGAGGTGTAAGATAATCTTTACATCAGAGAAAAAATGTTCCCTGAAAAGCATGGCTCTTCAAATGCCTATATATTCTAAATATAACATGTAACAGCTCATTTTTATGCCACATGTTTGTGTAGTCCGATATACATCTTTCTGTGTACAGTGCTTGTTACTTTTACCAAGACTGGGCCAAATTTCTTATCATTTTGATGATTCTAGAAACTTGCAATACACATCAATGCAACATGATCAACTTTTTCTGATCGATTCCACACCGTTTCCTTCACAATACTTATAACCTTCCTATTTTAATCAGTTATTGTTCAAACTTTCACTAATTTCTTTTTTCTTATTTTTCTGCTTTTATTAAAACCATTTTAATATCAGGGTGGACTTTCCCTTTAAAAAGTAGTGAATGCCGAGTGATGTTGGTTTAGTATCTCTTCATGTCATCTTTTGCGGTTTATATAACCATAGAAGAGAGAGAGAGAGAGAGAGAGAGAGAGAGAGAGAGAGAGAGAGAAAGTAGGTCAGAATAAGGTTATATCGGCGGTAGACAAAAGGATGCTCCTCTATGACTCATTTCCTATACCGGCCTTCAATGACTAGTATTGTTAGTCAGTGGTGCAGCGAAAATAAGGGGAGGGGTTAAGGGTAAAAGTTGGATGCGATGATAGGGATGTTTTTTTTTCTTCTTTTCTTCATGTCTCCGATTATGTGAAAAGAAGTACTTATCTTCATTGTTGGAGTCAAAGTAATAAAAATCATATCGGAAAATCTAAAATAACAAGCTCTAATTGGACTGAAACTATACGATAAGTAACAGGGGCGTGTGTGTGTGTGGGGGGGGGGGGGGGGGGGGGGCTGCGGAAAATGGACTGACTTTCAGAGAAATGATCGAGGCATCCAAGGATTGTTATGAATCAGCATTGTGTCGTCATCGCATAGTCATTGATATAGTGGAAGGCTGGAGAGACATACAGATAAAGACAGAGAGAAATTTAAATAACAGAGACGGAAAGAAAGACGGAAATACACAAACACACATGCACCACACTTTCAAGAGCAAACTTACAAGCTTACAAAAAGAAACGTTTTCAAAGGACTATTATCTCATAAATTTAATTACAACTTGCTTTCGCCACTACCTGTATAGAATGACAACATTTATATAACTGTATTTTAAATTATCTTTTTTTCCCCCCTTCTTGTCGACAAATTTTCTCAATCAAGCCCGTATACTCCAGGAACTTGTATCTTAAGCCATCTGCCTATACAGAACAAGAATAAGAACAAGAAAAAACTCTGAAGGAATCAGATAGAACCTCAAGGAGATAAAGATGGACAAAGAGAAGACCGGTTTTCTTGTGTCCGGTGAGCGATCCGTATTAGGCCTACAATGAGTACACAGGATTTACTACTGAACACCATCTCAGTACTTGTCCATACCGTTTTCAAAACTGTAAACACTGGATGCATTCCCTAGATCTTTATTTAAACTATGTTATTTCCAGGGTCTTCTCTTTATTCTGTATCTTCGCCATTGTGTTATGATAAAGGGCTTATTTGATTTGTATTGACCTAAGTAGAACATTACAAGCTTACAATCCTCATTACCAGGTCTCTTGGAGAGGACCTAAAGCCGTCGGTCCTCTGGTTGCTTACAATAAAAAGCATGTATGCTTTGTTAGCAGTCAGGTAAAATAATCACCACTACTAGACCTAATACTACTTTAGAAGAAAAAAAAGCATGAGGGTCGTTTATTGCTTGCGTTTTTGTCTACAGGACGTCGGACCAGACCGCTGCCACACCGCTATGTTCCTCACCGAGCTGCAGACCCGTTACCATTTTATCCTTACACATTTTTTAACAATGAATCATCGCTGTATACCACCTGACGCGTGTGGGGTCACAGAGGTCATTACCACGACCCCTGCCTAGTCTGCAGGCACAGACTCTAATTAGACACTTAAACACAATTACATGGAGTCTTGTGATGAGTCCAACTCTGTCAGTCTCTGAATTTGTCAGGAGCAGCTATAGCACAGAGCCTATCAGTGCAGAAGATTGAACAGTCTGGATAGTCTTCCCGTTCAGACGCTCTGTTACCTAGTACGACTGACCAGGGTTTTTACACGCAGACTAACTCTATCCTCCTACAAGAGTTGTTTGACACTCATGAACTTGTCATCCTCATTTTCTTCCCAGGTCGCGCTACTTGATATTTATAAGCACAATTCTCGATTTCTTCACTTTACACGATCGCAATGACTTTCGAGAAATCAACCAGAGCCAATTTTCAATAGCCTTGTGCGTCAGATTTGAGTTGAGTAAACATTATAATGACAATGTTACGTACTCCGAGCATGGTTTATATAGGTCTCCTCGTCTTTCTATCTCACTAGAATATGCATAATATAATTTTATAATAATAATAAGAGTAATCTTTTAAAGCCCACTCCAAATTTTATTAAACCGAAACGGAAATTCTTTTTGCCCAATTGATCGTGAGCCCGGCAGCCACTGAGCAGCGCCAGATCGACGTAATTGCTCTATCCCTTATTGTTGAACGCCAAACCTTGTTCCTTAAAATTGTTCATGTTATGTACTTTATATCACATGTTAAAAATTCTGTTAAATTGTATTACATGCCTAATGGAGATAATACACATGAACTTAAGCTTGAACTTGAACTTGAACTTGAAATATAGTTTTGAAGTTGCCTTGAGCTGATCCAATATGAAATTCTTTGCGATCGTCTTACTTGAATAAAATAGAATAATTTAAAAACAATATTGGTGAAAGTGTCACACGAGGATAGTAAAATAATAAACCAGTATATGAACAATCATAAAGTCGTGTTTTATTTTGTTTGGTCGTTTGTTTTTTCTTGGTCAGTAGTATTTTTTAAAATAAAAATCACGACATTGTTAGTCCCTACTCAGTGCGCATGTCAAGTAAGGCATGGTATTTCTCGTGATACCTAGGACGCCCTCAAACGACAATGGTGGTGAGTTGTCTGGTTTCTTGAAGGTGAATCTATGAAGGAGACTCGTAAACCCGAGGAAGGTTTCCATCCGAGCTAGCTGCTCTCCTAAACACACTCGACGACCTACAGACAGAAAAACATTTTTGTTGTAAATTGAAAAACAAAACAAACATGATAAGAATAAATTACTGTAAATCTTTAGTTGTTAATCCAATTTTGTTTTGTTCACCGACCAGAGGTGTAGCATTGGTGCAGTCATGCCGTGCCGATGTGCTTTGTATCCCTTTAACCTTTCTGAAGATGCATATAGATGAACGAAACTAATTTTCCCCCGTTGAATAACCACCAAGTATCAGCCCCAGAAAAGAGGGCGCTAGACGATTACCTAAAACGTACAGGGAGAGTAGGTACACAGATTGTGGCAAGATACTTTTCAGTGAGGAAACTTAGTTTGTTTTGTTAGAAAAGCGACAGTTTACGGGTCTAATTAGTGATGCTGCCCACCAAAATCACATTTGCCAAACTTTCTGTATAGATGACTCAGAGTACAAACTAGGTGAGCCGATATCAACCTTGCATAACTCAGGACTTACCGACACTGAAAAATATAAGTTCTTCCCTCTTAATCAGCTTGCCGTCTTCGGTCAGAAACCTGTCAGGTTTAAAGGCATCAGAATCTTTCCAGAGCTCCTCGCTGTTCAGCACCTTCCAGATGTTGGACAAAATGGTGGCGCCCTTTGGTATAGTGTGGCCTCTGAACGAGGTGTCTTCAGCCGCTACGTGGGGCACACCCAATGCTGCTACGGCTCCCTTACGCTGAACCTGATCGGGGAAGAAAACAACGCTATCAAATGCCTTTTCATTGGGATTGATAAAGGCGAATTTTGAGGCGACTATGAAGGATAAGAGGTAGTTTTATCCAAGAAGGCCAAACTGTTCAGTCATTTGCCTTGAGGTCCGGTCGGTTTGTGAATGTAGTGCCGCTCTAGGAAGAGTCGGCCGATTGAACCGAAAAGCTAACGCGGGCAAAGATATTCAAAGTATTTGGTAACTCTCGTTATCTAGCATGTGCTGAATTCATGTTTGTTGTAATAAAAATACAAAAATTATACAGTAAAACGCATAACCTCACTAGTTATTCTGAGTCTATCCCAGTAACTACTTGGAATATGATCACAATCCATCATTGCATAGTTCCTCGACTCATTACTCTATACAAGTTGCTTTACGGGTTGTAGAGACATCCTTTATCAATTTTGGCATACTTTTTAACCGTGTCCAAAAGTGTTAAACTAACCTCTATCAGGACTGCATTCGTGTAGGGAAGGTCGTTCCGATCGTCCAGCCTCGGAAGTCTCTCTCTGCCTACCACGTGATCAAGCTCTCTCTGAACACGTGACTGCATCTCGGGATGCGCCATCATGTAGAGGATGCACCACTTGAGAGTGGTGGTGGTCGTTTCAGTTCCCGCGAAGAGGAGATCACCTATAGCCGAGTTCAGGTTAATCTTCGAGTAGGAGGATGTCTCCAAAACCTGGAAGGAAAGTTACGTAAATGTTTGACAGATTACCTTACTTCATCATCATCAACTTCAAGTGGCGCTGTAAAGCGCTGCTGTGGTCTTCACGAGAGCACGCCATGCAACTCTTTCACCTGCCATTTGTGTTGCACACTTACTTAGCTCGTATAAAAAAAGTGTCGGGTCGCGAGCAGTGGCGTAGACAGGTTCGTACACCTGGGGGGATGACTCAGGGGCGGATCTAGCTTTTTGCTAAGGGGGGGGGTTGACCAAAATAATGACGATGCGGAGCATCGTCCACGAGCCGCGAAGCGGCGAGCCGATTTTTTTTGGGGTGTTTATTTGAACCCCGTAAGTGATGTTTTCCTGGCATCTATTAACACAATGGAGACCATACAAAGCAGTGCATGATAACGTCTTTTTAAATCAAGTAACAGTTAAATACACAGTTATATCCAGAGTTATCATGTGTTTGGTTAAGTTACCAGATGAGTTGAATATCTTCTCACAATATTTGCACTTGAAAGGGTTTCTCTCCAGCGTGCGTTCTTTTTTCTTTTTTTCTTTTTTTTTTCTTTTTGTTTCCTTTTTTTTGGGGGGGGGGGCGCCCAAGGGGGGGGGGGTTTAAACCCCCTAAACCCACCCCCGTAGATCAGCGCCTGTTTAATCTTGTGGTTATCTTGTGGTTTCCAAACCACAAGATAACCACAAAATACTTGTAAGATTTTCTTTTTTTTACCGTCTGAATTGGCTTTTACCGTGTGAATGCGGCTAATAACAATAAACACAATTACAATAATGATGAGGATTATTATTATCATCATCATAATTATTATTATTATTAATATTATAATTGTTATCATTATTATTATTACTATTATTATCATCATTATGACTTATTAAGTAAGCAAATATCATTCCCCAAAACCTGGGGGGGATGATTGTACATGCCATCCCCCCACCTTGTGAGGTGGGGGGGATGCATCCCCCTCATCCCCCCCCCCCCCCCCCCGTTGTCTACGCCCCTGGTCGCGAGACGCGAGTTTTCGTAGATAATATGCAGTAGGTTTTTTTTTAAACAGAAAGTGCCGGGTAAACTGGACCCAACACTTTGGTGATAAGAGGGGTGTATTTCACAAATGTGTCACCCGACCCTTTTGGAATTAGTATACAAATAATACACAGCAGTGAGGGCATTAATGATGTGTATTAATTGTTTTATAAGATTATGTTTTTTGACATGAGTTTACTAATGACCGGTCATTAGCATTTGATAATGACCGGTCATTATCAAAACTACGTGTTAGGCAAAAAAATGCCTGGTCACGTGTACGCTCTCAACCAATCATTTGATTAGGATCCACGTCATTATCTTGATTATTCAAGAAGGTTCTTGTAACCTGAAGACGGGAATACATTGTACCTGATGGAACAAAACAGTGAGCTGGTTTGCACATACCTTTGTTTCGGCCATCTTCTTGAGATAGAGGTCGATGAAGTCCCTGGGATGGTCCAGGTCCAGACATTTCTCGTGGCTTTCAATCTGATTCAGGAGAAACTTGTTAACCTCCTTCATGTTCTTGACCATCTTTTTCGGCGCCCCAAAAGGAATCTTAGATATCCCGGGCAGTGGGAGGAATAGAAGTGCCCCTCCGCCGCTCGATAACTCCATGTTGTCATTCATGAGATTCAAAATCTGAAGCGAAGTATAAATAAAGCATCATCAATAGATTGATGTTGTCCATTCATATAAGATTCAAAATCTGAACCCGAGTATGAAAATGCACAATGACAAAGAAATCGTATCAGGACGACTACTGACCAGACAATTACAAACTATGGCGACTACTTAACAGGAAAACTATCCATCAGGATAATAACCCTGCACTACACATCCCTTTGAAATTATCCCCGTTATCTAGGCAGGGGTGAGGCAGGTTGGCTACTTCTAATCAGACTGCATGAACGGTAGCAGGACAAGTCCAATGCATGTGGCTATTATGCCTAGTTCACACCGACGCCGAATGTCGCGCTTTAAATCGGCGATCAATTCGGCGTCATTTTTTCAAAAAATCTCACGATCTCCTGAGATATGTTATGCTAAGTTCACACCGACGCCGAATTGATGGCGCATTAAATCGGCGAGCAAAGCGGTGGCAAAGCGTAACAAAGCTTAATTAAAGGGTAAAGACCGTAATAGAGCGTGAGAAAGCTTTGAGCAATTCGGGACGTTCGGCAAGAGCGCCAAAAATTTAAACTCTGTTAAGCTTTCCTACGCTTTGAGCAAAACTTTGATAAGCTTTGTGACGCTTTGATAAGCTTTAATACGCTCTCCCCGCTTTACGCAATTCGTGACAGATCGCCTCAAATTTTTAAACAGTTTAAAATTTGTTGGCGCTCTTGCCGAATGTCCCGAATTGCTCAAAGCTTTCTCACGCTCTATTACGGTCTTTACGCTTTAATTAAGCTTTGTTACGCTTTGCCGCCGCTTTGCTCGCCGATTTAATGCGCCATCAATTCGGCGTCGGTGTGAACTTAGCATTAGGTACCAAAATCTGAGATGCGTTTTGTAACGTACGGGACAAAATTACTTCTACGTTTGCTTTTTCTTCTTTCTTCTCCTTCCGACAGAAAAATATATACAATTGGATTATATTTAATCATGTTAATTAGGGATCACATTGCCATGCAAAATCGTGTATCATTGTTTTCCCTTTGTATTGTTATATGCATTTTGTTTTTATTTGTGAAAAACAAAACAATTAAGCCTAGGCTGCGAGACGTACTTTCTAATAAATATATCATTGAATTAAAAATTAAAAAATGAAGAAAAAAAAAAGCCCGATATTATCCAACAAAAAACAACTTACCTGTCTGAATTCGACATCAGAGTATTTATATTGCGTTCCGAAGGCAACGGAACAGACGATGTTTGCAACGGCTTGTCCGAAGAGGAGGTTTGGATCAAACGAAGACCCCTCCTTCTCCTCTATGGCTGCCCTGAGTTGGTCCATCTCGGTTGCCACGGTGTCCTCATAGCTCTTCTTGCCAACTCCGAGACTGCGGAAGACAGAATGGGCGAACTTTCGCTGCTCCTCCCATACCTTTCCGTTGGCAAGTATGACCCCTAAAGGGAATTTGATTTGGTAATAGAAAAACAAAATGGTGTTTGAGTCCCGGCCTTTTGGCCACCTGTTCCACAAATATAGGACGTAGATTGCTTTTTAAGAATATCTCACCATTATATAGTTTGATTTGATTGCTGTTTTTTCCCCTGGTCTTAACATTGTTTTAATAATGGAAAGTTAGCTTGGATCGGAGGACAAAATAAACGAAGGATGAAGAATGAAAATTAGAAAATATAGGAGAAGCATTTTTTATTCATGTATCTTTTGTCTATTTCTAAATTTTCTTCCCTTATTTTTTTTTAATTCTTTCTTTCTTTTTAATAACCTTAAAGGAAACCTCACCCCTAGCAATAACATTACTTATTCTGAGAAATTTATTATATTCTTGCCCATTAATCTACACGATTCCCCACCAAAGTGTATGAGAAAGGCATAGAGCAAGAATAATGTACAATTTCTCAGCACGGCATGGGCATCGCCATTTTCTTGATAACGTGACGTACTTTGTGAACGGTCGTTTATTATATATGGAGAATGAAGACGATTCGTTGTACCGTTCTCAACTCTTAATCCTTGTCTGAACTCAGTTTCCACCAGCCCACGCGAAGCGCGGAAGATTTGACGTTTTATTAAATTATAAGAGAAAGAAGACGATTCGTTGTACCGTTCCCGACTATTAATCATTATCTGAGTTTTCAAAAAAGTTTCTTTGTCTGCTCCTTTTTCTTCCTACGTACTCTTACCCTTTTCGTTCACTTCTCTCTTCTTTTTTTTTTGGGGGGGGGGGGGGGGGGGGGGGGGGGGGGGGGCGACCGCCCCCACCGCCCCCCTTGCTACGCGCCTGGTACAACATCGCCTGGTACGTCACATTTTCAAGAAAATGGCTGCGCCCGTGTCATGCTAAAAGGCATCACATCGTGCCAGGAATTTCGTCATTTAATATCTCTTGTACATTTTCATAAGTAATATTGCACATCAAGGGGCAGGAATACATCTCATTTTTCAATTTACCTATAGTTATTATTTGGGGTGAGGTTTCCTTTGATTACCAGAAAATTGTTGTCTCTTCCAAACATCAAAGAAATTTGTTGAGTAAATACCATTATTAGCAAGTCCGAGAGCCTCTTCTACCATCTGGCTCTTGGGTCGGTTGTTGAGGTCGGGGTGGCTGAAGGCTTCCACAATGACCTCGTAAGAGTTCAGGAGCACAAAGGTCATGGGGCCTACCTTGAAGGACACGACGTCGCCATACTGGTCCGCCCAGGACGAGTACAGAGCGAGGGGGTCGGGTTTAGCCCTGTTTTGGCGTTGAAAAATAGATGATTGGTAGAATGATTGGTTAATGAAATAAATAGAAATAGATTGGTATATCTTAGCTGGAAACAAATACAATGATTTAATATGTTGATTTCTAGACACCTGAATATATGAATATCATAAATAAGTTGATAATATATGATTGTTGAAAGTCCACGTAGAGAGTCGTATACGCGTAAGATGGGTAGGTAGATAGATAGACAGATAGAAATCCATTCAGATAAATTGTATATCCATAGACATTGACTGATAATGAGGTAGATAGGAAGATACATACTACATGTAGGCAGATAACTGGATAGTCATTCATATGACTGATAGCCTAGGCATAGCAAATAAAGGATGAGGTATAGGAGTTGAAGTGAAGACTTACCTCATCATTTCCCACGCTACTCCCAGGAATGGCAGCCCCACTGGCCCTGGTGGAAGGTTCTTGGGTCGAGACATTAAACCCTTCACAAACCACATGACCACCAATGCGATGGCACCTGTCATGAGCCATAAGCTTGTATCGGATTGTACGATCCACTCCATGATGACCTGGACAAAAATGCACCTGGTTTATTCGAAAATACCATGTGATATATAGATAAGTGACACTGTCTCCTTCCCTTCCTCACAATCCAGATTCCTTGTTTTTTTAAATGAAACATAACGATATTAATTTTGTTATTATATTCAAAATGATGTTCAAAATAATGATAGTACCCTTTTATGGCAACTTCTAAGTAAAAAATCGACTGATTGTCACGAAAATCAACAAAAAACAACAACAATTATTATTACAACTACGTTATAGGCCCGTTATAGGGCTGTTATCCGACAGACCATTCACCCAAAGGACAATTATCCCGTCCACATGGTCCAATGACAGCCCCCCCCCCCCCACACACACACACACTATCCAGGAATATTATGTGTGAAGGTCTTCACTATTAATTGTCCGAGTGGTAATTCAAAAGATAGTGGTCCGAACTCCAAGAGGGATAGCCCTAGCGGGGTAGTAGGGTCGGTCGTAGTCCAGTGAGTCTAACCAGAAATATTAAATGTAAATATGATTATCATAATTATATAGATCTATATCATGTTGATTCAATTGAGATTAGCGATTGGGTGTAATTCGATAACTTTAACCACATACAAACATGCACATTACACTTACCTCTTCTCATCAATATATCTTGTATGCGTATTCCAAATTCAGCGGCTGCAAATTGAACTATATACGATAAGCACGTTAAAACACACGAAACGAAACCGAACTTTAGATCTGCAAAATACGTGCGATTGTTCATGAGATACCCAGTCTGCAAATACAAATGCAAAACACACAATGACGTTGCATTTCAACAAAGTCATAGCACTTCTGTAAGCTATACAGTTGAACACTTGACGAAATTGTGAACATAACGTCCCACGGAGCGGTGATAATAGCGATATAATGCTATGATGTAATAATGAATGGTGAAACAGAAAAAGACCCTATGACGTGAGTGAGCTCTTTTCGTCTGCTAATGTTTCATGCATTTGTCAGCATGACTGCGAAAAGGTGTTTGATCAATGACGAGATATGCACGTACAAGCCCCTTCGTTTCGATCAATGTATTTTGTACAGCTCTATTATTTTCTTTTGGGATTTATTTCATTGTTCGCGCTCGTAGAGAACTTTGAGAGGGTTCGACCGGAACGGAGACCTAGAGGCAGGCACCTGAAACAAATTATTTTGTTGTAGTCGTTTTTGTTGTTGCTGGTGGTGGTGGTGGTTGGACATCCCCATGTGCCCCTTTGGATCCTCCTCTGTCTCTCAACTCTCGGTTTTCTTACTAAAATCTACTTTTTCAAATATGCTTGTTCTTTCTATTATTTGTTATATACTGTTCTTGACGTTCTAAACACAAGTTCTCGATTTCCAGCTATTCCATATTTATTCCCCTCTTATTTTATTTTACTTATTAATATAATAATGTATAATAAACTTTAGCAGAAATGACCGTAATTCAGAAACATTTCATTTTTTAAATAATGAGCGTGCGATTTCGGCAGTTTTTTATATTTTTTTAATGTACAGCCATATTCTCTTGACTCAATAACGTTCATGGGGCTTAAGGGGATATTTGAACCCCCCCCCCCCCAACTGTTAGGGGCTGTCTGACACCCATCCCGACGGAAAAGATTTGTTGTTGTTGTTGTTGTTGTTTTTGTTGTTTTGTTTGTTAGGTAGGACAAGCCATAATGTTTGACTTACCTACAAGCAAGAGATAATGTGTACAATTCACATTCTGACTATTGAAATAAAATTATTTATAACATGTGAATCAATTTTTTCTTTAGATTTGTGTATTATATTTGATTACATTACGAAAAGGGCCTAAACAATCATCGTGAAACATGAATATACATCAGATGTCCCCTTAAATCATTAGAGTGAAACAGCGCCATCTAATTTTGTCTTGAAACAGGCACGAGGGGAATAGGATGTAAGAGGGGGTACATTTTAGAATTCCAAAATAATGAATTCATTGAGCTTTTCAATATTTTTAGTCAAATATGAATAAGTAATGATTTCCCATTTTTTAAAGAATGAAGTACTTGTTTCACAGCTGGATCTTGAATATGCTTTTATCACGGGGTGGGTTGCGAGTTGTGGTGTGTTTTTTTTCCTTTCAGAAATCTCTCTCTCTCTCTCTCTCTCTCTCTCTCTCTCTATTTCTTATTAATTTGTTATCTTATTACATCTTCCGCATGATCACCAAGCATTCCAATAATTTACATGTTCTATACTGTTCTAATTAACTTTGCGAATGCAACCATGATAATGCACTTGTAGGTAATATTAACCCCCTCCCCCCCCCCCCCCCCCCCCCCCCATTGTTAGCAATGTATTACTCATCCCGCCACATATTCATTGTGATCCCCAAAAAATTATCTTTTGGTTATTTTTCTTCCAAATTTCCTTTTTTTCCCCAACCTTTGTGGTTGCTCATCATATTTCATATTCTTCTATTGACCCCCCCCCTCATCTTAACATTCTCCTTCCATCTGCCTCCCCCCTCTCTCTCACTCTCCTCTACCTCTCTCCAGATTTTCTTTCTCTACATGTATATCCTCCACCTACAACTTTCTCCTTCTCTCCAACATTCTCTCTGTCTCTCTCTCTCTGTCTCTCTGTCTCTCTCTATATGCCTATCTATCTCTCATTTGCTGTCTCTATCATGCCCTTTCTCTCTATCTCATTGTGTTGTTATTCTCTCCTCCTCCTCCTCCTTGTTCTCTCTCTCCATCTCTCTCTCTCTCTCTCTCTCTCTCTCTCTCTCTCTCTCTCACACACACACACACACACACACACACACACGCACACGCCCACACACACTGTATAATATTTTGCCTGCTTCTTCATATTGACATACAGCTGATTCACTTTATTCTCGCCGTACCAAAAGAAAATGTTTACAATATACACTGCACTGAGAAGTAATATAATTTTAGCCAATTTATTTGTTTCATAGATTTTCAACATGTAAGTATTTCAAATTCATTAACTGAAGGTAATTTGATCTATAAGTGAGTAGAGACGGTACAATTATTTCAGTAAATCGTTTACAGAAGCACATCAATTTTTCATTCTATGATACATAATTGTATGTTTAAGATAAAGCTTTATACTAACTGACTGATTTATTTTGGTTTCGTAATATTTTTTAAAGCTGATCAAATATCAGTGAACTGCTCTTTAAATTGTAAGAAGTTAGGTGCCTACGGTGACGTCAACCAACTTTTACAGCGCTACTACGATGTCACTGGTCACCATGGAGACCAAATTTCATCTTTGGTAGCTGATTGGCTGAGCAAATTGAGTCCTGGTCGTTGATTGGTTGGTTGTCACTCCTTACCTCGTATTGACAGCGAGGCTGATGGTTCATAAGATTCCTCATCAGCCACATTGTTAATACGGGGTAAAAAGTGGAGAATATGCTACCTCGTGGCGAAAAATTGCTTTATCGATATCTGTATCGATTTCAATTATGTCGTCTGCATCAGCTCTGATGTAATTTGCCATCAGTTCTTACGTCAATTACTTCTCTTCTATCTTCGGACCATGTAGTCATTTGAGGATTATAGTATAGTGCTCCATCAACACATTGCAGCTGTCAAATCTGGTAGTGAAAATAAAATAAATAAAGAAAGAGAGGTTGAGTTAGTGAGAGAAAAAGAAAGAGAGAGGGGGCAATATTCATCGTCAATGTATAATATTTGTTGCAATTGGAGAGAAAATATATTACTTTTAGAGAAATTCATCATTGAATATTATTATCAGTGGCCTAACATTTCTAAAGAATGTAGTAAGAATAGAATGAATGAACGAAGCTTAGTACGATATTTGATATGGGCAAGGGCAGATATAATATTAACTACCCTGCCCTATACGGGAAGGCATGAAAAGCATATAGGATATCATCTGGCCAATATTTTTAATAGTAGTTAAAGCATACCTAGCGTGTCAGGCGGAGATGGGAAAATATCTCAATAAGTTACGTATTACACAATTTCACGAAACCCGTACTGGTTTGAAATTAACTAATAGAGACTATGAATTTCATACAGAGCAGTTAATATCTGTCCATTACTCATAAGTCTTATATTTGTTCCCTAAAGGGGGCTTATCATTTTCAAAAAGGGTGGAGATACACGAGATGGAAGCAAATATTTGCCTTGCGTCATTGGATTTTACTCTAAATTCCTATTTTGGGACATTCGTCCATTTTAACTAACAACACCGCTATGGATCTAATTTGGTAGGACTGTTGGAAAAGCTAGTGAAGCTATAATTATCTTAACTATTAATCTTTAACATCTCCATTAATTCTAAATCTTTGCGTCAAATTATAAGGATTCTCTTATGAGGTAGAAACTAAAAGTGTGTTACGATAATAAATGCCGAAATTATATAATGCAAAATGGAGTGTGTGTTTACACAAATGATTGTGGTTATCTTTTTCGAAGACAACGAAAAAAGAAAAAACGGAAGAAAGAAATCAAAGGAGGAAAAAGGAGGAGAACAAGAAGAATAAGTGGGAAATGTAGAAAGGAGGAAAAGGAAACAAGCATAAGCCAAATGAAAAGATATAAGCAATAATAATGTTAATTATCTTGATTAACTGAAGGAAAAAAAACTGGAAATAATGAAACAACGAGGAGATAGGCAAACATATTTTAAAGATATCTATAGTCTATTAAACTTATATAAAATTTGACCTCTTTTCTTCAATGTAGAATTGACTTTTAAACTAAAGTTCTTTACAAAATAATGACGAGATTATAATCGAAAAACTAACATGACTAAGCAGGACATTTGCTAGAACACCTACGCGTTGACCTAAGACGCGATGCACGCGGCAAAACTTAACAATAGAAAAACAAATTGGTCATGTTTGATGGCGATCGCCAAATGACTAATTGTTTGGTCGGATGTTTGGATGTTTTGATATCACTTCAATCGCGTTCCAATCCATTGTATATCTTGTTTTAACATCTCCGAGACAGACTGGCAGAAAGAGGTTATTATGGTTTTGCCAAAATAGAGAAGGGGTGGTTCTTGAACCCCTCCAAATTAAATGAATCACCAGGTCAATGCATACAAGATTATTAGTGACGGAGGGCACAAGGTCCCGAACTCTGAACGCTATAAAAAATTCCGCCAAACATTTACCTAGGGTCATTAAAGCTTGAGGTACCCACTTCAGTCTTATTAAGATGAGTAACTGTAACCTTTTTTTCCTCTGGTGTTTAAGTCAATACAATTTTTTTTTATGATCATGCCATTTGTCGAGTGTAGACCCCTAGTTTGTAACGCGTTTAAATCTCATTGTAAAAACCGTGCAATACAAGTTGGACAATGAACCAAGAGCAAATAGAGTTTATTGATGGGCTATTATGTAACGCCGTTTACAAGATGCGCTATAGATAGGCAGTCATTGTTGATGACACAATCTTGAACAAGGAATATTAAAGTAAGATTAATATGCGAAAGGAAACATGTTGTGTAAATCATTGTTCTTTTCTCTTAAATTGCTACAGACCCAAATCCTATACGCTATTCTCTTTTTTCCTAGAAAAGAAAAATAGTTTTAAAAGAAATGCAGTTCATGCGCATTTCTGTATAGAAATTAATAAAAGATGTCAATGAAATTACCATCCCCCCCCCCAAAAAAAAAAAAAAAAAGAAGAAGCTAGATTATTATATTTTTTACATTAAATCCCTTGCATATGAAAATAGATAACTTAATTCATAATAATTAAATGACATGAGTCTGTTGGAAATTTAAATTAGAATTTAAAAAGTGTCTTTGTTCATCCACTTGGTAAATCGTAGCATACATGTTCTCAAGAATTAAGATTTTGGCGTGTCATTGTGCTCAGCAGTCGCAACATTATTTGCGTGTTTCTTATCACGTTATCTCAACGATTGAGAGGCTCGTTTAAATCATATGAAGACAGAAAAAAAAGTCTCGTGCTCTTTAGGAATTCTTCTAACTTTAATCGACACTTGACTGATTCCATATCACTTAAGCATACACAACCACCTTAAAGGGCCAAACACAATCGATGGACTTCGCACAGAATAATCTAATCAAGGCATTGTAAATTTTCTTATCTCTTCAACTTCGCGCCAATTTATCTGTTCGTTTCAATATTCCCAATGAGTTAATATTCGATAGACCACGCTATGTAAGAGAGATAAGAAGTAGTGGATGAGAAGGGGAAAATAGAATGATGCCCACGTGGCATGGATTAGAGCTTTTGTCGGGATTGACAGAAGAACTGAAATGGGAGGATACTCAATGGAGGAAGAAATGGAGAACACATGAACAGACAGGAAGCTGTGGAGGATAATTGTGATAAAGAAGACGCATACAAGAGGAAGGAAAAGAAGAAGGAGAAGAAGGGGAAACGAAATAAGAATAAGGTGGTGGAGGAGAAGGAGACGAAGAAGAGGGAGAAAGAAGAGTGGATAAGGAATAGAAGGATAGAAGCAAGGGATGGACGACAAGAAAATTGAAAAAAGGGAAATGAGTAAAAGAAGAAGATCAAAGGGAGACGATGAGGTGGAGGAGAAGAAGGTTGAAATTCTATGAGAGAATTAATGGTGCATTCTGAAAGGTGATGGACATTAAAACTAAGCCAAGAAAGAAAGGAAAAAGATTCTTACAAAGACACTAACACACGAGAAGAAAGTGTTGGATAATTATGATGAACGATTTGGAGTTGTTTGTATCAAAGCTTGTTTCGAAACTGAGAATCGCTTTACGAGTAGATGAATGGCCCTCATAAGCGTCGCCGAAACATAAATGTGTCACAAAATATGGTTATTGATTATAGTTTAAGATACAGGATCTAAAGTCTATATCACAAGTGCAGAGTATTATAACCGCATAGAAAAAAGATTACATTATAGCACACCAAAGATCTACTATATTACATCCCTATATGCCTATCAATACGTTTTAGAAGCAAAAATTAGAACATCTTATTGAATCGCAATTGAGAATGCATTTGTATATTATACTCACTAATACCAATAGATGAATAGATGAATATATCAAGCACTGTAGAAAAAATACTTCTCTACATAGGCTACGTTAATTATCTACATTCATTTATAAGAAAAGGCGTAAACAAGTATAACTTTAGCAGTCCAATTTCCTTAAGCATAGGCTATCGTAATGTCGATGCATGTAATTGATCTCAAATGAAAAGTAAAATGTGGAGTCGTATTGAAGTTAACTCATATTTTTTTTTTTGAAGTCATGCAGGCTTGGACTATACATAACCGGAGTAGATATTAAGTAGTACTTTTTCGATCTCGATTTAATTCCCGTTTTGGTCAAACATCCATGAATATGAATGAATGAATGAAGTGTTAAATGAAATTATTATAAGACTTTTGGTGTCATGCCAATTAAATATGAATTAGTTAAAAGGAAAACAAAAACTTACATTCGAAACTTGCAGGAGATGTGCTGTAACAATGGTCACTGGAGTGCGATGTTCGTGTTCTCAGATCCGAGAGACGATTGAAGAGATGTGGGAAACCCTATCAAAATTCGAATCGCAAGACGCAGGGATGAGTAGTTTGCATCTCGTATTACCACCACTACCAAGTACTGCCGAAGCCACCACCACCAACACCAGCATCAGAACTCCAATCCCAAATGAGGCGCCGCGATCAGCAGGCTCTCTATGCACGTCCGCACTCGGTGATGCGCCTTCTACCAATGACTCCTTGACGGTGGTGGCTGGTTCATAAATACCCCTCCACCACACCCCTCTGCCTACCAGAGCGTCACAAACACCCATTGCAAAGCGCATCACGAGCCGATGTGAGCAAAGAAACAAATCCTCGTTAGCGTACTTTGATCCCTCGCCGCCACGTTGTTCATTGCTTCAACGCAAACATGATATAAGTTACTCGACAACTAGTTAAGAGGTGGTGGTCTAATATTTGACGCCGACATCTTAAAACATGTTGTTTCTTAAGGGAATTTGTTTCTCTTTAATACACGATGGAAATGTTCCTAATGTTTCTAGTTAATGATTTTTGTATGTGACGTAGGGATTATTTCAGTACAGTCCAATGAGTATGACAAATTATATATTTTTTATTAAAGAAGAACGGCTAAGGGGTGGGGTCAGTGGTGTAAAGGGGAGGATATAGTTGTAGTGGTACAGTGTTGCTGATTGTCATGGTGGTGATGATGTTCCAGGGATGCATTTATAAATTAATGTACGACTTCGTTGATGGGAACTATATAAATTAATAACGATTTTTCATTTTCCTAATGCAGTTCCGTTGGTAGATCAGTTGATTGTCTACAAAATTAACACTGCATTCTAAATTGGGATATGATGGGGGGGGGGGGGGGAGAAAACGTTTGTATTTGTCAAAAGCTTAATAAAAAAGAAACTTCAA